GGGGGGTAAGCGTGTATTGCTTTTTGGCTTTATATTTTGTGCCAGAGGAGAAGCAATAGAGTACGTTTGATCTTGTTTTTCTCACTTCATCTAATCGTATAAATAATATGGCCTTGTATTATTTTATTGAATGCCACTTTGCCGTATCTTATTGTGTCGCCTATTATATTTTTTGCATCTTGTCTTTGGGGTCATATCTTGATTTATCGCATCGTATCTGATCTTATCGCGGGTGGTTGGAGAGCTCCAGTGGTTGGTCCGACTTCTGTTCTTGCCTTTTGCTGTTTTTGTCTCTTTTTTCCCCCTTGTCCGAAGGTGAAGGGTTGGCGGGTGCTCTGGTGTGGTTTGCTCCTTCTTTCCTATCAAACATCTATCGCCCTGATCTCTCCTTTTTTTGTGTGTTTGTTACTCTCTTGTAATACCTCTAATCTTCGGTACTTATATGTCCATAATGTGTTGCAAGTGCCGTAAAATTTTTACTAAAACTAAAACCTTGTCTGAAATGACCGCGATCATGTCTATGTGCTTCTCTCTACTCAAACAATCAGTCATCTGGGGGCTCTTGTGATGTAGTGTTCGCCTCTCGTTAAATAAGTCCCGGGTTCGAAACCTGACAGAGACGGAAAATTTTCTTCTTTAAGTGTTCTCCTTTCACCTCCTTTCCTGCTCTCTAACCGTGTTCTGTCCTCTGCTTTCGTCTCTTCTTTCTCGAGTGGTTGGAGGGCGCCACTGGTAGGTCCTTCTCCTTTACTAAGTTGTTTCTGTCTGTCTGTCTTACTTTTTCACGGCACTAAATGACCTTTATTGTGTCGATGTGCTTCTCTCTACTCAAACAAATAAATCTGGGGATCTCTGTGGTCTAGAGGTGATGGTGTTCGCCTCTCTTTGAATAGGTCTGGAGTTCGAAACCTGACAGCGACGGAAAATGTTCCTACCTAAAATATTCTCCTTCCTGCTCTTAACCATGTTCTGTCTAGTGCTTTCATCATTTCGTCTCCAATTATTGTCCCTTGCCCCCTCCTCTGGGTTCCTGAACCTTTCTGCAGTTTTTCACTGCTACTCCTTAACTCCTTCAAACTGCTGTTTTTCAGCCGCACCCCTGATCTTAGAGAAGGTAAGATCTAACACCTAGCCTTCCCGGATAAGGGCTAAAAATCTCGAAGGTCCCATGTGCAAGTTGCGCACGTTAAGGATCCCTTGATGGTCCAAAATTGATAAGAGTAGGCTTCGGCCGCCACCTCTGCAAATTCAAAATTAATTTCTACCAAAACTAATCATGTGTAATGTGTCCCGTGCGTCCATATAACCTTATGTAGTTGTGAGCACCGTAAAACACTTACCAAACAAATAACCAAATAAAGCAGTCATTTTGTCTTAAGTGTCAAATCCTGATTTATTGTATATCGTATCTGATCGCATCTCGTGTAATCTCCTTATCTTGATTTATTGTTTCCTATCTGATCGCATCTTTCTTTATCTCTTTATATTTTAATTTATTGTATCGTATCTTATTGTGTCTTGTCTAATTTCCTTATCTTAATTTATCGTATCGTATCTCAGATCGGATTTTGCCTTGTCTCCTTATCTTGGTTCATCGTTTCGTATCTGATTGTATCTTGTCCAATCTCCTTATTGTTAATTTATCGTATCGTATTTGCTTATATTTTGTCTAATTTCCTTATCTTGATTCATCGTTTCGTGTCTGATTGTGTCTTCCTCTTCTCTGTTGACATCCACCCCTTGGCGCTCATATGACCTTATGCAATTGCGAGCGCCGTAAAACCTTACTGTCCAAATGATTTTGTCTTGTCTAATCTCTTTATCTTAATTAATCGTATCGTATCTGACTGTGATCTCGTCTAATCCTCTTCCAGTTGAGAAACATGGCCAACACGCAGCCGGGCCTGGGTGAGAACACCCGCCTGCTGCCCAACTCCCGCGCCCCCGGCAGAGACTCCCAGGGCTCCGGGACGTCAGGCTCGGACAACGTGACTTCACACGCCCCCAACATGGCGTCCCACTCCCACAACAACATGGCGTCCCACTCGAGCAGTAACACGGCGACCACCTCCAACGGATCTGCTGGAGGCGACAGCTATGAGGAGCTGTTTAAGGACAGTGTGCCCTGTCCGTCCTGTAGAGGGTTGGGACGTGTGCCTAAAGGTAAGGACGTTTTGGAAAGACAGAGAGAGAGACACACACACAGAGAAAGGGGGAGAGAGAGAGAAAGAGAGAGAGAGGGAGAGAGAGAGACAGAAAGACAGACAGACAGACAGACAGAGAGAGAGAGAGAGAGACAGAAAGAGAAAGAGAGAGAGAGGGGGGGGGAGAGAGAGATAGGGAGGGTACAGCTATGAGGAGCTGTTTAAGGACAGTGTTCCCTGTCTGTCCTGTAGAGGGTTGGGACGTGTGCCTAAAGGTAAGGGCTGTTGGAGAGACAGACACAGAGAGAGAGAGAGAGAGAG